AAAAAAAAAAAAAAAAAAAAAAATCCAGCAATCAAAACTGCATTGAATTGGCATCATTTCATACTAAAGCAATGGTTTTCGAAAACAATCTAAGAAAAAAGCAATGAGGTCTGTACATGAAGTTGCAGTAGCCCGTAGGCGCCAGTTCAGAAACACAAATTCGATTAAAATATATCGATGATTGAAAACAGTTGTTCCAATGTTCTACTGAACTTCCCAGCAACAACTAACTGAACGTAAAGTGAGCTTAAGTGTACAATCTAAGAGAAAAAACAATTAAAAAGCAATGAGGTCTGTACATTAAGTTGCAGTAGCCCGTAGGCTCCAGTTCAGAAACACGAATTCTAATCGATGATTGAAAACAGCTGTTCCAATGTTCTACTAAACTTCCCATCAACAACTAACTGAACGTAAAGTGAGCTGAAGTCTACACTAAACTGCACTTGGCAAGTGAGTTTGTAACAGCCCTAACCCACCGCTAGCAGATATTGTCTTTTTTGGGTTATTCCTTGAAGGGCTTCCTCTCAAGGTTTTAAAATGCGTCCACTATCAAGAGGTTTCCACACTCTTATAAGTTATGTTTCATTCCCCTCTCCAACCGATGTAGGATCTCACGTAGCTTTACAAGTCTACATTGAACTGCAATTAGCCACTTCTCATTCTCAAACATGATGTACATGGTACAAGCCATTAAACGTTCAAGAGTTTCAATGATTCCTAAAGCATATATTAATCTTAAAGATGGTATTCATATCAACAAGATCACATAATTTTATAAAACATTTCACTTTTTTGCTTTCATCTGTTTCTCTTGGACACAAGTCGTCATAGCCTATAACTATTATGACACACCAGTTTATTTCAGCACGGTTCTTATATTTTTTACCTTGATGTCTTTTTGAAGCCTTTGCTCTGCTGCATAAAGTTTTTTTAGAGTGATGCAATGAGCTCCAGGCCGGCACGGCTCATTGGGACCAAGAAACTCTACTGTATCTGTTGTAAATTGAAGTGAATTAGATGACCACCTCCGTGATAATGCATTGAAGACCTTAGCAGAATTGCTTCTCTTCCCTGTAAATCATAGGTTAGAGAATTGCTCAAGAGACTTGCAGAAAAATACTGGGAACTAAAACATGTCTGATGATGAATTAAATAAATAGAACTTATGAAAGAAACTATGGCCTTTCTGTTTTTTCATTTTTTAACCAAGAGACAAACTTCTAAATCATACAGAGAAAATTACAAAATAATGAAAAAATGAAGTTAAAGATGAACAAAATAATCGTCCAGTCGTCTTAAGACAGGGCAGCTCGAGATTATCGACTTAATTTCACTAGCATAATAAGTCTCAGAGGATTTCCATCTGAATTTCTCTGAGAGTGACATGGATTTACCCAAAAAGAACAAGCATGGCTTCTGGTCCATATACACAATGAAAGATCATATTAAGCTACATGTTTGGTTTTTAAACTTTTAGAGTTGTGTCCAATAAGTCTCTCAACTTAAACAAGTATCTAATAAATGCTTAGGTTCTTGAAATTTATAAAATATCTGATAAAATCTCAAACTTACAATTTTGTGTCTAGGTTCTTGATGCCATAACCATAGGGAAGAAATAAAACCATATCATTTGAAGATTTTTTGGGAAAAAATGGATAATTTTTCAACAATTTCTAAGAACTTCAAGTATGAAAATTAAAAATGAGATAAACTGCACAAAGGGGGCAAAGAAGTTGATAAAGAAAGAGTGTATTTACTCTTGCTTTCCCTGAAATGAGGTGGGGGAAAATCATTTCCAGCGCTCATATCAATGAGAACAGCTATTTCCTTTATACCACCTGATGCTTTAAGAAAATACTCATCGAGTTCCTTGACCACGGCTCCCAAGGTTTTCTTTCTTTTCCATGATATCATGCCCATGTCTGTTGCGACCTTCATATGCAAGCTACTCGTAGAAGAAATACAGCTTGCCAATTCCCTTTGCTCTAGACTCTTAGCTACTGGATTCACGACATCTTCTACAGTTTCTTCCTTATCCTCTTCCTCAAATTCACTCCTAGTTTCTGCCCAATTTTCCTCTTCAACTGGCCCCACAATTTCAATCTTCTTCTGTTCATGTACAGCAGAGAGCTCAAAAGGATCCCAATACTCCCAAGATGAGCTCAAAATTGGAGGTGATGAGCTATGATCATCCTCCTCCTCATCGATAACAATGCTTCCTTCTTGGGCATCTTCAGCTCCATGCTTTCTCAAATCAGGGCTAAGAGGTGGTGGTGGGGGCGGAGAAGGCGGCAATGGAGGAGGCGGTGATGGAGGCGATGCCAAGCCATAAATAGTACCTTCAAGCTCCAAAGTTTCAGACTCAGTAAATTGTCTAAGGGTTGCACCTGTATTCTTCAATGCCCTCAAGTAAGCTAGCAGGGCATCTGCAAATTCTTTCCTTGACCCTATTAATTGTTTCATTAGCTTCTTCCTCTCCTTACAAGCCTTCACTCTCTCCTCCTCATCAATACTTGAAGCAGCACAACCCATTTCACCAAATGGGAGACAAATAAATGATATCTGTTATAGAGTTGTTCTAGGCACGACCGCAGCAGAAGTGGTAGACCCAATTGAAAGAAACTCAAACAGCACAATCATTAGGGAGAAACCCAAAACCAGGAACTCCTCATCAATACCTTTGACATTGTCTGAATCACTCAACTTCCCCAAAGAATCTTCCTGTTTCACGTTTAGGTGATTCGAAAACTCAAACAAAAGGCTTAAAATCCAATGTTCATTACAAAAATTTCACAATCAGCGATACTCCAAGTGCCCAAATTATGATCCATGAAAAGAAGAAGAATATCACAGAAACAGGACGATCCTCTGACGGTTCCACTCGAATCTTCTATGCTCAAACCAGTGCATTACGATTTACAGCATTTGATTGGCCCAAGGACTCACAAAAAAACAAAACAAGAAAAGAAACCAAAACCATAGAGCTTCAAAATCTCGTTGAACTCACAACCAAACAAACACATCAATAAAAAGAAACGTCTAAGAACAGTCTCGCAGAAGTTCCTTTTCTTTTTAATTGATTAAATGTTTGAAAAGTAGCATTAGAACAGTCACTCTGACATTCAGAAACTGTCAGCTGCAGAATCCACTCCCCCCGTCCTACCCAGAAGAACAACAACCGTAAAGTGGTAATCCGACAGCCTTTGATGGTTTCCGAGAAATCGTCAAACAGAAAAGGAAATTTTCAGTAATATTGAAATAGAAGCTTGCGAGTACCTCAAGGAGAGTGTCCGCTTTATCTGTTCGTCCTTTCTACAGATTACTTAATAAGCTCGAAGATCGAGAAGCGAGAAGTATCCAATGAAATGGACTGGAAAGCTCCATTACTCATAAGCCATCATCAATGGCGGTTCTGTTTCAAAAGGGGGACTGGTCCAAAATTCGTTTGGTTCTGCTACAACTTTCAAATGCAAAATTATATTCGGTTAAATTATCAAAAAGTACCGGTTTGTTTTAATTATACCTTTCGACAAATAAATAAATAAATAAACAAACAATTTTTATACACTTTTTAGTTATATTTATTTATGGGTATAATGTTTATGTTTCTTAAAATTCTATATTTTTAAAAATTCTTGTCTTTTTCTTTTCTAATTTAAAATTAAAATTGATCAAATACTACTTTATTTCATGCAAAGTTTTTTTTAAAAAAAAATGCAGTGTTTTAATTTTGTTAAATTTAATTTTTTTTTCTATTTTATATCTCCAGTAAATATTAAATTATTACACCGTTTAAATTATCACAAATTAAATTTTAAAGATAAATAAAATGATTGATAGGATTGTATGCGAGTTGCGTTTCAGAAAAATTTCAACAAACTCGAAAGTTCGAGTTCATTCGGTTGGTAACTAAAGTAATTTGAATAGATTTCACTATCCAATTCAATGCACTCGAAGAGCGGAGTTGGATTGGGTTGTCGAGTTGAATTATTTTTTAAAAAAATCATATTTATACATTTAAAATATTCTTATTATGTTTTTAAAGATACGATAGAATTAGATTGTAACACTATTTTTGAGTTGTTCCAATAAAAAAAAATATCAGCTCGCAAATCGAATCAAATTTTTCCTTTTTCAAAAAATTTAACCCAATCAAAATCGAAAAGAAAAATCTAACCCAACTCAACTTTTATGATTTGAGGTAGGTACTCTAGAATGATTGAATTATCGGCTTACATTAACACCTATATAATAAGGTTCACAATTCAACTCAACACATTGTCACATTGTTTATTTTTTTTAATTATTAAAAAAATCACATTATACATTCTTAATTAAATTTTTTAAAAATTTAAATATCAAACATTTTCGAGTAAAAAATATTTAATTAAATATATATATATATTTTTTTTTTTAAGGAACCGAAAGGAAGGGGAAGTGAACGTGTCAGTTTTACCTCAATCTCCTTAAAGTGTCTTTAAGTGGTACTGGAAACTTTAAACTGTAAAAGGGCATTTTTGTAAAAGTTTGTTAAAAAAAAAATAATAATGTCCCGTAATAATTAATTTAAAATGAAATGTTTCAAAAGCAATCTATGAGCTTGCATGTGGATGTTATTATGAAGACATATAAAGGTGGCATGCCACGCCCTATTCACACCCTATCTACTAAAATTATATCACTAAAAATATAATTGGATAAATAGAGTACTAAGTATCGGATCGATAATTTAATTTTTCATTTTTGTTAACAAAAAAAAAAAAAAAATAGGTATTCATATGTTTTTGAGATCTCGACCAGTCTAAACTATTCAATCCAAATCATAAAAGTTGAGTTGGGTTAAAAAAAATTATATTAAGAATGTTTGACTTTTGTAACTAATGGTAGTTATGCATTTTAACTTATGAATGTTTGATATTTAAGTTCGATGAAATTTTAGTTATTAATGTCACACATAATAACTAAATATATTTTTATTAAATAACCAATTATAAATAAGATTAAAATACTAAAATTAAATTTTAACAAAAAAATAAAAAAAATAAATAAGACTCGAAGTTGTTTGGGCCGTAACGCGGTGTTAACGTAATGGGCCGGAAGCAAGTTATTGGGCTAAACTCACTTGTAAGTTCCACTTTGCTTGCTGTGCCTTCTTTCTAAATTAATAAAAATACAACTTTATCTTAAAACAAAATATTCTTAATTTTTTTAATTAAAAATACACTTAATTTAATATATTGGACCACAATGGGAACAATTCTCGATTATATTATTGCTTTTATACAATATATATGCACATAAAAGCACCAAAATGCAACCAATAGTATATACTTATTGTGATTTTATGCATATATATATATATATATATATATATATATATAGGTGAAACGCATATTTATATAATATGAAATTATATATAAAGATAGTATAAATAATAAATTATATTTAATTTAGTTTTTTGTTTCCACATTTTCTTATTTTTTTGAATGAACTTTTAAAATTGATATATTTTAACATAAAATAAAATTAATTAAAAGTATTCGAATGAAAAATGATAGTTTAATGTCAATGGTATAACATATCAAATTGAATTCTCAATATGAATTATTTTATATTAATTTTAACCCTAGTATAACCTATTGAACTGAACTCTTAATATGGTTTAGTTATTGAATTGTTTTAATAAATATAGAGATGATTTTATATTAATTCAAGAAAATTTATAAATTAGTTTAATTCATACAAAAACTTTATCTTCAATTTTCAAATAAATAAATAAATAAAATTAAAATTATTTTTGTTAAATTATAAATAAGACGAAGCTAATATTTACTCGAGATATAAATATTACTTAGACTAAATTACACTTTCGTGTAAATAAAAAAAATAATGAAATTATGTTGAGATCTAACTATAACATCATAATAATTAGAAATTAAATAATTCAATTAAAATTAGTAAATATAGAAGTTTAAATCATAAACCATATAAATACAACTTGCTTTAATTAAACACAAATATTTAAAAAAGTAAAAATAATTTTTACTAAAAAAAAAGATAAATTGTATAATAAAACATGAAAAAAAAAAGAAGTCAGTTAACCCAAAAAATTTCACTAAACTTTACTAAATTATTGAACAAAACTCAAAACACAAAATTTAGTATTATTCTAGTCGTTTTTTCCACATTCAAAACAGTTTATTAGGGAGATTTAAATTAACCATAAATTTCTCCCTTCCCCATTTTCTTCTCTGATTTTCTTTTCAGTTTTTTGGTCGGGATCTTGCTTCCTATATACGCTCGCTCTCAATCGGATTCGGGATTCATTTTTGGTTTTTCTCTTGGATCTGGTATCTCAGGAAATAGCCGGAACCCAAGCTGGAATTTGATATTGAGCTGTTCTGAAATGGACAATGGTGATATTGAGAGCGGGGAAGAGGAATTTCATGGGCAGAGGGGAAGGAAGTACCGACCTGTGGAAGCTCATGATCGTGCTGTTCTTGAAATGTCTTCCATGGATCCGGGGGCATCATCTTCTTCGTCCTCCGTTCCCCCCATTTCTCTGAAGTAATCTGTTTTATCTTCTACTTCGGTCTTGTGATTATTGTTGTACTATTCTTTACTTGTTGTGAATTTTGTGTTGGGATTTAAGGAGGTGCGATTGTTTAATTTGGGGAAAAGGAAGGGCGTTGTGTCTTGATCATTATTATGATTTTTTTTTTTATCTTTGACCTATAAATTTTGAAGAAGGGTCTTAGATTTTGTGGTTTAGACGCAGTAATTTGTATATGTTGAGCTGCATTATTGCTGGCTTTGATCAAGTTCTGGAAACTTGAGATTGTATGTTGAAATTTGGAGTGCTTAAGATCTCTTGCTTCTATGGCAGGAATGTAAAAGTGGATTCTCAGACGGGCACTGAAACAGATGGGAATTCTCCTACTCGTATTGAAGTTGATGGCCCCCAGCGAGAATCCAAGCTGGAGTTTTTTGGTTTTGATTCTCTTGTCAATATTCTTGGCCTTAAGAGGTACAATGTTTTTTCTATGTATCTAGTCTGTGCAGTTTGCCAGCAACTTCCTTAGATTTATTGAATACATCTATTAGATGAGTTTTGGCATGGAATCAAGTGGACGCAACCCACAAAACTATCGCCACCCATTGTCTCTTTCTATATGGTGCAATTTTCTTTTAGAACTTATATTTGTTCAATTAGCCAGTCTAAATTTTGTGTAACACTTCTAGTATGTTTGTTGTATTATTAGTATGATGGGGGAACAAATTCAAGCACCTACTAGTCCTCGAGATGGTGAGAACATTTCTATCACTCAAGGATTGCCAAAGGTAAACTATCTTAACTTGCATTATCGTGTTATTTGGCCTACTCTCCATTTGGTTATTTACATTTTTTTCGGCCATAGTGGTTACAAAATATCTCTATAGATGCACGACCTAATTCACCTCACCAACCATTCTTGGCCCTGGGGGCTTGGATTGGCAACCACGAGAATGGCTAGAGAGACCATCTCCCTTGAGGAAATTGGCTCGGTGGTTATTGGATTTGGGAGGAGTAAAGCTTCACGCTGTGATGGATTTTTTATGGCCTTCTTTCAAGAAAGTTGGGACATAAGATGAATTTTTTAAAGGTATTTGTTGAATGAGAGAGGCTTAATTGATTTTTAATCTTCTTTTCCTTATCCTAAAAAAATCAGTGGCAGCACATGCAGATGCAAAAGTCTTTTGATCTATTAGCACAGTGTCTCTTTTGTATCTGTCATGCGAGATGTCAGTGGAAAGGATGAGAGTTTTTTACCCTTCACGATCTCCTGTTGTCAGGGTGGTTTGTTAGCAGACACACAAACTCTAGACAAAATAACTATTGGAAATGAGTCAACGAGGATATAGTCAAGAATCAAGAAGGAACCAGAATGATCCTGAGAATGTTATAACTATGTTGCGATAGGTTTTTTGAATAAGCTGTTGTGAGATCCTCATCCTTTTTTCTTTTTTATCGTGGTTGCTATGCTAATATTCTCAGCAAACTCATTTTTAGAGGAGGAGGGGGGGGGGGGGGGGGGG